ATAAATGCCCTTGGAACTGTGTAATTCCGATCAATAGTTTAGGAGATATCATAATTAGCAAATTACGAGTCGTAGAAAAAAATACCAACTTAAATCAAAGTTTTCTTTCTTGGCTTACGTAGCCTAAACTATAAGACCTACATAAAAATGATGTATGAAAGAATTGTAGCTCTTTCAATTAGTCGGTGTCAGTCAGTGTAGATCCATTGCTTAATTGTTACTATACTTTCAATTGTCAATTGTTATGGTAAAAATGTGGAAACCCTTACGTAGAAATATCTCTGCATACCTTGGCACCGACATCAAAGTAGTAATAATTGTACAATATAGACATAACAGTTACAATAAGGTAGGTTTACTATTTTCAAGGAATTATTTCGTTACTTTTTAGTGTACTGTTTTTTTGAGAATATTTTGTTTTTAGTGTATTTTGTTTTGTTTTTAGTGTATTTTGTTTGGAAGTCGGTTTTGTTTTTTTTATTAAAAAGTTTTTTATAAAAAGCTATATATTTACGACACGCTTTAGACTACACTAGCTGTTTAATTTTATTGTTATTATGTCAAATTATCAATAGCAAATGTCAAAATCACATGACATGACAAACCTTGGCAATATTACTTCCTTGATGTTAGCAGCAACTTATGGTCTCTTTCCCACATTAGAGTTTTTATCCAAAATATTTATCCCCTAAGTTTAATGGCGTGAAAATATATAGCCTAAAGCGTGACGTAAGTGTAGGGCTTTTTATTAAAAGAAGAATTATTCCAAAATATCCTGTTATTGCTGACATCTTAGGCAACAAAGATGTGTGTGTTTACGCTTCATTATAATAGTAAATAACAATAAATTGCAGTCGTGTCTGGAGGGTCCGTACTGCGAAGTGTGCGAAGTCAGTTTCGCTTCACAAACTGCTTACGACACACATCTCAAAGTCTCCTCCAAACACAGCACTGATGATGATCCGTAAGTGAATATAAATTTAAAACACTACCATACACCCCCGACTC